GCGCGCGGACGGCATTCAGTACATGAGTGGCCGGAGCTTGAGAGAATCTGGGCGGGGGTTGATAGCACTTTTGCTGCTCTAGGCCCATTGACTCCATTTAGAGAAAACATTGGAAGACCGAACTAACGCCGATGGTCCTACCCTGGGGCCTATATTCAAGATCGGCACTGATCGGAGGGGGTTAGATTTAGCCTGGACAGTGCCTTTAACTGGGATCTTTTTCATAATCTGGAAAAGTCAACTTTAGATTTAGTTTTACAAAGTCTGGTTTTAGTGTGACTCCATCCGTACTACTCCCACTCACCTACAGAAATGTCCGTAGGCTTGTCCGAAGTACATTTCAAGAAAATAAGTCAAAAATAAACAACAGGACCTTTATCTATCAATCTTCCGATCTCCGACCGGGCGCTATCCTATCTTTGTATATCAGCGGCCGATCGAGCGATGGGAGCTTGTTTGAAGGATAAAACAGTGCTTAATCAGAGATTGAGAGTTTAATCATTGCTTCATTTTGCAATCAGACTTCTAAAATGGTTACAACTTGTTGGGAAGACTTCCGCAAATTTTTCGAACTGTCCTTACGACTAAGAGTCAAGCAAACCATTAAGCCTCTCTAATTCAGATTCCTGTCCCTACTGTTTCACCAATTCCGGAATTCCCGATCTCATGCTGGTCCGGTGTATATGTGAACGGAACTGCCATCAGCAATGCTGGGTAAGGAATCAGCTGTTGTCGAAAATAAAAAACCTAAGCTCTTTCTGGATGTCTGAAGCAAAAAAAAAGTATGCGAGTAAATCTACCGTAGATGGGAATCAACTGAACTTTGAAGCGAATACTATGAAGACTATAGACAATCAAGGATGCAAGACTCGTGCACGAAATTGATTAAATTTCGAGGGATGAACTTTATCCAAATATGATGAGTTTTGAGAAGTGAAGAAATTTCTTCCAACGAAAACTAATGCCATGCGAAAAAATAAAGCTATAAATTGTAGAAAATAAAATGATGAATAGCTTAAATCCAAATCTTTTCAGCTACCAGTCCTGCAACGGAGAATGCGCTTACATCTCACTTACCACAAGTATGACAGGTGTCACTTACAATGCCGAAATCTACACTTGCGATCCCACTTCTGTGTGCAGTTCAATGGGTACGTTACGGTAACCCTGAAAAGGCGAATTGCTAAAATTTAGTGGTTACAGGAACGATCAACAACTGCTTGACCTTGGAGCCCGGAGTACAGGCTTGCTGCTGTAACTCGGACGCATGTCTTACTCCTAAGAGGGTTGGTCAACTCAAAATGAACAGGGTAATACACAACAATGTTTTTTTTTTCAGAAACCAGGAAATCCTCTCACTTGCTATGTTGGTATGTATGCAGTGAAAGCCGGTATCAATACTGGAGGAGAGGTAGCGAATAATTTTTACCCTCCAATTTCCCTCCCCAACTATTGGCCTTATAGGTATGGTGCAATGGTCAATGCTCATCCCTGCGTACCACGGTAAATAATGATGATGTCACCACCTTCCAATGTATCCCAACGACTGCGTGCAAGTAAGTGCATGTTTATCCTGACAAGAATCCCTCGCTTATCAATCCCTGATTCAGGTATCTGGGTCTTAACAACGGCTGCGGTACTCTTACCGGAGATCGCGACGTCACAGCTTGTTGCTGTGATTATGCGAACGGTTGTAACCTCGCCATGAACAATAGAACCGATGTGAGTTCGAGTAGAACATAATTGGGGCTTTGGGCTTTATCTATCAGTATCCCGATGTGTGATCGGCCGCTCGTCTACCATAGTAAAAAGCAAGCGCTTGATCAGGCAATGTAAGATCGATAGACCCTATCGTGTATTCTGCCGCTGGAAATCTCATTCAGATCACCGTTCCGACTCCTTCACCACTTCCTGAATTCCCAATCTCTTGCTGGTCAGGAGTATATGTGAATGGCACTCCAATCACCAATATCGGGTAAGAACTAACCATAGGCAAAGATGACATTCACGAAAATTTGGTGATTACCTCGATAAAAGAACTTGTTGGATAGAAAAGAAACCTGACAAGGCATAAATTTATGTGTGGCTTAAAAGAAAACATATTTTCGCTTATACAAACCGCATCGTTCGCCTCGCTTCAGAGCTTTTTCTCTGTAATTACCATAAATGCGTGCACATTCACATTTGTAGACATTCTTTTCCCAGAGAAATTTTATGAGATTTTTAGGGTGTCGTGTTGAAATCAAGCTATACAATTGATAGGGGAGCAAGCAATCTCTACATATATAAAGCAGAAACTTTGTGTGTCTGTGCACATTCCCAAAGTCATTTAGGATGAGTGAACCTCATTTAGATTTGCTGGTCGTTAAGATAGGTAGGTTGGGTAACGTTCGCCACATGAGAGGACAAGCACGATGAACTGGCTCCAAACCGGGGTGGAATCCGGGAAGCCAGTTCGTAGAATCATAGAATTACAATCGAAAAGTTTATAATGAACGAGTTCCGACCGTTAGCGATTCCTTAAAGTGTGTGGGGCAGACATTTCCAAAGGGGCGGAGTGACCAGTACCAAATCGTATTTGGTGCCATTTTCTAGCTTCTGAAGTAATCCTTCAAAGAATACCTAGGTAAATATTTACGGTGACTTCACTTTTACATCGCAACGAATCCTCATCCCAAATACCTGAACGATGATTTTCAATCACATCATTATATCAAAAGTTTACTGCGGAACATCTGTGATTTTTCGCGGAAAAAAATGAAAATCTTGCAGATTCCAAACTTGCTATGGAGAATGCGCATCCGTTGCTTTGACCACCGGTATGGGTACTGTCACCTACAAAGCTGAAATCTACACTTGTGATCCAACCTCCGTCTGCAACTCAATGGGTACGTTGCTGTTTCCACTTTCCTAATCTGATTTAATTTTTTTCCAAATTCAGGAATGAGCAACAACTGCTTGACACTTGAGCCAGGAGTGCAAGGCTGCTGCTGTAATACCGATGCATGCCTTACTCCAAGGAGGGTAAGTGTAAGCTTTTTTTCCGAATAAATTAGATATAAATTTGAATTTAGAAACCCGGAAATGTGCTCTGGTGTTATGTTGGTCTCTACGCGAAGAGGGCAAATGTTAACGTCGGAGGAGAGGTACTTGCAATCAGAAAAAAACTTGTTTTACTTTAAATACACTGATGCCTACCAGGTTGCCTGTGATGGCCAGTGCTCTTCATTGAGTGGAATTGTGAATGGTGACATGGTAACCACATTCCAATGCGTACCTAAATCAGTCTGCAGGTGAGTACTGGAGAGATGGTCCCTCATAAAATTTGATTTTGCCGCCTTCAAGGTCTTTGGCTTTGGACAACCATTGCGCTTCACTTCCGGGAGATCGTGCAGTGAAAGGATGTTGTTGCGATTTTGGTAACAGCTGTAACGTCAACCAAACAGGAATTCCCGATGTGGGTACAGCCAAGTCTGGCAGTCCCCAAAATCCGCTTTTTCAATTCTCTTCCAATTCCAGATCAACATTCCATCGCCCGCACCCAGCACTGAGTTCCCAATCTCTTGCTGGAGCGGAATCTACGTCAATGGAAATGCAATCACCAACGCTGGGTAAGTCGGCCACAACTAGGTATGACAAATTCATCAAAAAAATCTTTTGCAGATTCCAATCCTGTTTTGGAGAATGCGCTAGTGTCACGCTCCAAACTTGGGTAAACGGTACCCAGACTAATGCAACTATTTATACATGTGATCCCACCTCTGTCTGCAAGAGCCTCAGTACGTATCCACCCAAAAATTGCTCAAATTTTCGTTTTTGCAAAAGATCTGTTTCAGACATGAGTAACAATTGCGCCACCGTAGAGCCAGGACTATCTGGGTGTTGCTGTAACGATGATGCGTGCCTCACTCCAACTAGGGTTTGTAAAACAGTTCGGGGATTTTTTGAAATCATTTTTGGGATAGACTGCAGCTATTCCAAACAAGCATGTACTACATGCAGCGCAATAATCTATGTTTCAGAATAAAAATGTAAAGAAACCAGAACAGCAGAAAATCTGGCAGAAAATTCTTATCATTGTTGACCATACATAGTTACTAGGCTTACTGATAGTTATTAGAAGCAAAAAACGTTTCAAAAAATTAAACGGCGCCAAAAATAATTTTACATCCACATCGACCTTTCTTCAAGAAGACTTCGCAAATTTACTTCCAGTCAATTTATAAATATGCCAACGAGGTTGTTACTTGCTTGCAAATGAGAACACTATCTTGT